ACCAAAAAACTGGTGTATTATTCTCGTTTGTGCCCACTGCGACACGTCAACTTTGTGCAATTGGTATTTTAATATTCCTGTGAAAGTTGTGAATTATATTGTATTGTGAGTACTAATCGTAGTTTGTGACAATACAATCGTTACGGTTGGTCACAATTATAATAAAATGATCTTTGATAGTTTTAAATATTACACAAAAGTAGAAAATTTCTACTAGAAATATACATATTTTTTATTTTTACATTTTGATAAATTAGCAAATGAAGTGGTTAACAATGTTAACTTAACATAATCTCATTTTCGTGTCACTATCACAATAAATCGATTTAAATTGCCTAAAAATACCAGAAAATACTATAGAAAAAATAAAATTGTCTTTTCAATTTTATGATAAATCATGACAATCACATTGTCACAAACTTGGACTTACTAGTGCTTGACATGAAAACCAGCTTGACATGAAATTAGGAGTACACTGTGTGTATTGCGTTTGAGATCAGTTAAACATGAAATGCAACAAAAATATTCAGTTTGTGATTGATGAAACAGTAAAAAAATGTAAATGAAACATCTAGATGAATATGATTTGTGTTTGTTGATTCGCTGATTGATTTTGCTAAGTGAACAAATATTCAGGTAGACAACTGTTTTACACACTAATAATATTATCAAATCTAGTAGCGAAAACATAACATACGTAAGTCACGATCGTTTATGAGCAATCAAAGAAACATACAAATGAATCGTTGCGACGAAAAAAAAGTTCCTATTTTTCTCCAAATAATATATACTACAACAAATAAACCCGTCTATCTATAAAAAAAACTCTATGTTGATGTATTTTTTGGAGAAAAACACGAGCAATTTTTTTGCCACAACGATTTAAATAAAGTTCATACTTGCTCTCGTTGCGCACAAGCCATCAACCGAAAGACCAAAAGATGTGACAATGTAAATAACACAACTGAATCACATCTTACATCTGTTGCATGCATATAACAAAATTCATTCATCGAAGAAACATTTGATTTACAAATCTGATACGTACTCCTTTGGAATATTTGATTAGGTACTTCCATCACATACTCATGATATTCATGTTGGTTACAATTGTGTTGCAACAAAAAATCCAGAGTGGAATGGAAAAGAGCGCTCCTCAGAATTTTGAATGAAACTAGAAACAACGATCAAAATCAAACGGACAATTTCAACGTTGAGTTAACGCTTTGTGTATTTCTTTTTGTCGAGCTAATGCTAAACCTAACGCAATGCGATAATGATGTGTAGACATAGTGATTACAAGCTGGAAAATCTGTCACATAAACATTAATTATGATAATAAACATGATAATTAATGCCATTAGGAATCTCATATATATAACAAAAAATAATAATTTTTTTTAATATTTAAAAAAAAAGTTTCCGAAAACGTTTTCATCTTAATAACTTCATTTCTTTGTCATTGAATGGTTTATTACAATCTGCCATTGTTATTTAATATTCTTTTTTTTAATTTTCTTTTTCTTGTATGGATTTTAAACTTATGTACAATTTTTGACACTGAGAGTCGCTAATAGATGATAGTTTAACTTAATACCGATAATTATCATATACACCAACGGTTAACAGATTTTATCTAAATGTTTACTTATTTAAAGAAATCCACTAATAGAGTCATTAATTATGTGATTTTCCTACTAATGGCTAAATTATGGTGCAGTTAATTCATTATTATAACATACTGTGTCTTTTTCTCTATTTCTTCGCTTTGCTGTCTTTTGCCGTTTCTTTTTTTTCGAAACTCTACGGAAGTATGTTAACATCAAGCCAAAAGTTCTGATGAAAATCGATTTATCACCGAATAAGAATAAAATAAATGATAAAAAAAACATTCTCATTGTTGCTGATGATGATAATGATCACACCTTTTCTTTTCATCTATCTTTTAATTCAAAATGACAAACGATCTGTGATGTGGTAAAATCTACCACATACAGAAAATTGACAAAGGTAAAGAAATACTGGGTAAAAAACCAATGCTTGCTGCTTTGTTCAACAAAAGAGATTAAAGGAAAAAATAACTATGCTTTCGAAAGTCTTCATAGAAACGAGAAGACAAAAAAAACTTTTCGTCAAATATTGAAATAGATGAAATTCTTCACACATAGATTTTTACTTGTTCTGCAAAAAAAAATCTTCTTTTCTTCTTTTTCTAATGAAATAAAGTTCGGCATCTTCCGAATTGTTTGATGTTTGACCATGTTGACAAAATTAGCATATGAAAAGCACACTATACCCAATGCTTAAGAGAAAAACTTAAGAGAAAAAATGATGTTTGAGGCAGAAGATGGCAATCAATCGTGGCTATTGCTTATTTGATTAAATATGGGCGGTCTCAAAATGACCAAAAAGGTGATAACAACAACACAATTTTTGTTTAACGGTTGTTATACGGTGTGTATAGGTTTTGTTTTTACCGTGTAATTTATTTGACATTAAGTTATGTGAATATTTGTTCTTTGTCTTTTCTTGTATGTGTACTTTGGCTTATGTCTGTATTTTGCTGCCTGGTGGGCGCATCGTTTGACAGTAAATGATATTTCAATCGACGTTAGTTTTTTTTCTTCATTTATCCATGTTGTATATGTGTTCGAGTGATCTTATGGTTATTTATGTTACTTATTTTGTGATGCGCGCAGTGGTTATATCTGTCGATTTGCAATTGTAGTTCTGGAATTTTTAAAAGCATCAATTTGTATTTTAGATATATTAAATGACAACGAGAGAATCGAACAGTTTAAAGGAATATCTTTGTATCGAACAATGGGCTAAAGAAAGCTAAAAAAAAACCTCCAATGACAGCGAAACCCATTGAGAAAAACGAATTGAAAAGAAATAACTCGTTAGGTAAATAGGCACATATTCATTTATTCTACTTAAAACGATTCACTTTTTGGTGGGCTTTCGCTGTGCGTCGCGGTTAAAACAAATCACTAATATCTTGAATATATGTTTTCAGATTTGTATAGTGTTTGGATGAGCGCGAGAATATACGCGCCAATGACACAGTGAGAATATAATTTGAACGTCTTCATTTGCTTGGGCTATATCCAATATACAATGCATTGACTAATGAAAAATGAGAACCGCATGCGAAATGAAGAACAATGATTGTTCAAAAAGTGTAATTTTTTGTGTGTTTTTTACTCTGTCCGAACCATAAATAATGTCGAGGAACACAAGTAACGTTACTTCATTATTTTTTTCTGTTTCGTGCTTTTCATTTTTAAGATAATGTTCAAAGAGATTAGTTTTCTATGGTGTTTTATGATTTATGCATTCTACGTCCAATTGAATATTCCGTGTATAGAACATTTTGTTTGTTTTATGTTTATTTTTTGTTTTAAAAAGGTTGATGACATATGTTCCTCAGTTCGGTCTATAATTATGTTAAACAAGCAACATACTGTGGAAAATAAACAATTGAATCCTTAATGAATTCAATGTCTTTTTCTTCAATAAATGAACGTCAAACGTCTAACAGAATTTGCTCAGATTTAATATGAAATGTTCATTCAATTTTTATGGTAATGTTTTGATTATTTGATATGATTACAATCTTTGAATCAAACTTTCGTAACAACCAACTATAAAGTAATGCCATAGTGCACATATAGTCCATGTGACATATACATATAAAATTGAACGTTTCAATCACATTATTCCTTTCATAAAATATGATCTAAACAAAAATGTTAATGGAAATTGATGGAAAGCAACAGAAACAATCTAGCTCATGTTATATAAAAGGAGCGGTAAGATGAGATGCACTCGAATTGTAAAACAAAAATTACATTGTCGCGCTTCATGATGATCGGGTCGTGAAATATTGAAACTGTTGAAAATATCAGATAATCCATTCGTCTTTTGATTATTCCTTTTTTTTCTTCATAAAGTGTATCTTTTCGACAGCGGCTAACACTCTTCATGAAATACAAATTGCATGATGATCAGTGAACATATCATGAATTGTGACAGCATCGAATGTATGGATAAAAATTGCTACGGCTTTGAGCGATATACAATGCTGTTCAATTTAATTGCCAATGGTACCTATTACTTTAATAGAATGAAGAACAGAATGGAGCAGCAACTCGTTTATAAGGCAGAAGAAAAAGAAAAATTAAATGAATTGAAACTTGAATTACCGTCCAACAAATTATAAGGCTATTTTTCTTTTCATCGTTTCATTATTTACCGACCTCTGTATTTCAATTGCATTGGAAAAACATTCAACTTCATCGGAAATTTTAATTTAGAAAAGAGAGAGAGAGAGAGAGAGAGAGAACCTTCTTTTTTATTTCGTTTTATTTTGCCCCTTCGATATACATTCCGGTGTAGTTATTTGTGGTTGTTTTCTTTTATTCATCAGAGCTCATTATACTTTGAAATGCTTTAAGTTTTTTCATGGTAGTTATTGTTCACGTTTTCTATTATCATGCAGTACAATGAACATAATGAAACTAGACGAAATATAGAGAATTGCTTGTGTCAATGCGCGCTATACACAAATCAATGAGGCACACTAAATCATGACATAATTTGATTCGTGATTTATTTAATTATAAAATTACTGCAATTGAGCACTGTTTCGTTTGAATATTTTTACGGATTTCTTCTTTTTTCGCTTTCGCTCTATTTGCATCGATCTGACTCTTTTGTTTTTATTGGTGGTTCCAATCGGTCCGTTGATTTGTTGTGGGTTAGAATTGTCTTTTCGTTCATCGCATTTTCAACAATCATACATAATTACTACTTCGTTGCCAATTGCCACAGAATTTCATGAAATTTATAGTTATCATGAAAGTTAGTATTAGTTTTGTGAAATTAATAGCGAAATAAAAACAAAATTAGTTAAATTACCAACCACAGGCCAATATATTCGATTCGATTTCAATCGGATGAAGTTCACTAATATATGACATAGAATTACAACTTACGTGCATTCGCCTGGAATCAAACATGTTCCATGGTTTGCGTGGCAACCACGTTTACAAATAGCTGAAATGAACGCAAAATAGAGAGAAGAGCAAAAATGCATTGTGTAAATTGAAAATGTGAGCATGAAAAATGATTTTATTTTTGTGTAGTCAAACCTTCTTCGCAATTAGCACCTTTCCATCCGCTTAGGCAAACCTTATTTCCGCGTTCTCCACAGGTATAATGACCAAAACGATCATTACGTGATCGACAAAATGTCGTACATGTTGTATTGAAATAGTTCTCAGAACATTGTACACGAACACTGAAATAATAACAAAAAACAACAACAATATATATTCAATGGACAATCTGATGAAATCGAAAAAGGTCAACACAGATCAATAATATAAATATAACACCAAAAAAATCGATACGAATTTACAATTTAATCGCAACATTTCACTTACCGATACGTTATCCGCGCATTTTTACCGATATAATTCAATGTATTCCACTCAGACGATGGCAAAATTACGCCAGAAAATGAAGCTTCATCAATCAGTTGTTCTGATACTGTAACATTTCAAATAATATATAAAAATATCTATTACAAATATTTTTCTGTTTTTATTTTTGTTTCAAGGTAAGTTATGCCGCTATGTAGTTAAAATGATTTCATCTTTTGTATTCCTTCTTCGGGAAAGAAAAATCAAGTAATTCGGATGAATCCAACATAAACTTTGTTATTAGTTGCAAATATTTTAAGAAAAAGGTTTGCTTTGGAATGGATTATTACACTGACCATCATCAACAGACTGGTAAATTATATTAACTATGTCTATAGACAATGTGATGATCAACTACTTTTTAACGAGAAAAAGTGTATCTATTTTACAAAAATAGATTTAATTGATTCACACGTTATTCGAAACAGAAACAATGGATCAAATCGGAATATAGTATTCTCATGTATACCATCTACTTTTCCACGTGAAACGACATAAACGACGACGACAACATTGATGTCAATCTGTGTTTTGTCCAATTGAAGGGATGCACAAAGACAAATATCGTTAATAATGTGACATGAATGTAATTACTTACCTGGATAAGAAGTATTGTACATATCCAACGCTTGGAGTATCAGCGTAAAAGATTTCTGAAATTAAAATGGATACATGAGTGAAAAACAAGGCAAACGAAAAACATTAGACAATAAATTATTACAAAAATTTAAACAAATTAAATTGTAGAAAATATTTTGAAAAATAAAAGTAGAAATAAAATAGAAGGCGCAAATGAAACGAAAAAAATTGTGCATAAAATATCGTCGAGTATGTGAGTGTAAGAGACGATCACTAAACGATTTTATATATTTCCGGTAAATTAAAAACTGAATTTATCGCCACATGAACGATGTAACTTCGTTTGTTCTGAGTTAACTAACGATCCCTGGCGCATCATCTTTCACATGTAGTGACTCACTACTACTAGTAAGAGCAAAAACTACGCAGTTTTTCTTCATGTTCTTTTTTTATCTCTTTTTTTCTCCACAAAACGAAATTACACGGTAATTTCAGTGTTTATCGCTTTATTCAACGATCTTTTTTCACTGGTTTTGATTTTCAAATGATCAGACATTGGTTCATTAGATGAACGCATTTATTCATAAGAATACAATCTGAATCAATTTATTTTTGTTAATCATCCCGACTTTGTTTTCTATTTATTCCAAATGCTCTGCATAATGGAACTGTGTTAATAGTCGATAAAATCGATGCGCGGTTTTTAAAAAAATGTTTTTTGAATGCCATTCTGTGGAAAAATACAATATTGAATTTTATATGGGACTATTTTTACACATTCTTTGACTTGAACTTGAAAAAAATGGATTTATCCTGAATTGGAAAAAAAATGTATGTCGCCAATATTGACCTTCCCTCCCCTCTCGTTTTTTCTTCACCATAGTATGGTGACCATACTTCTTTTCTATTTACATTCAATGGTTGACATCTTTTGCTCATCTTCACACCAAATTGATCGCAATTATTTTTTTAAAGTGGGATTTTTGTGAAAATTCAGAAAACCAACAAAAAAACACGAAATGTTTGTGTACTCACAGAAAAAGTGGAGGCGGTTTTTCCGCAAATTATTGTAGCA